GAATGGATAAAGAAGATGTGGTCCATACATGCAATGCAATATTACTCAGCCATCAGAAAGGATGCATACCCAACTTTTACATCAACATGGATGGGACTGGAGGAGATTATGCTAAGTGAAATAAGTCAAGCAGTGAAAGTCAAGTATCATATGGTTTCACTTATTTGTGGAACATAAGGACTAGCATGGAGGACATTAGGAGAAGGAAGGCAAAAATGAAGGCAGGAAATCGGAGGGGGAGATGAACCATGAATGACTATGGATTCTGAGAAACAAACTGAGGGTTTTAGCGGGGCGGGGGGTGGGGGGATGGGTTAGCCTGGTGATGGGTATTAGGGAGGACACATATTACATGGAGCACTGGGTGTTATACAAAATCAATGAATCGTGGATCACTACATCAAAAACTAATGATGTATTGTATGGTGACTAACATAACATAATAAAAAAAATGAAGGGCTCAGTGAACAAACAAAAACATATATAAAGCAAATCAACTGGGTGGGGAGGGGGAGGGATGGATGTAATAATTAGGAATAAATCCCCAAAAAGAAAATACAAGATATATCTATATATATTTAAGCCATTTTAAATTAATATTCATTACTTTCCTATTTTGGAAATTTTGTGATCAAATTAAAGAGTATGCTGAAAGTTTGGGTTGCAAGAATGGGCCCACTCAGAATTTACAATTTTACTCACAATTACTCACAATTATTACTCACAATTTATTACAAGATGAAGCAAGATATCTGTATCATACCTATGTATATATAATTCTTAATATAATATACACTTCTTTAGTTCTTTAAAAAACTACATTTAATAAACAAGAAAAATATTTAATTCTTAACAACTAAAATTAAAGTGAAAACTATTTTATTCTAACCTTTACAAGTTTAAAATATTAATGATACATCCTTATGTAAAAGTTATAACCATAGCATGTTATCAGGAGTAAACAAGTTTAAAATTCTTACAAATAAATCATTATCAAAGGCCAGTTTCTTATCCTACATGTAAATATTTCTCATTTTTGATATAAATAAAAATTTCTATTGACCCAATGACCCTGTTTATTAGTCTCAGAGAAGTCTGATATTTTAAAAATCAGCTTAGGAGGAAAAAATAATATAAATCATGGATCTGAGTCATTCAAAATCTCTAAGAAAATAACCTTATCAGAGAACATCAAATAAGCTAACAAAACCTCAACAGAAATTAAGAAAGTGGGCAACAAAATGATCTAAGGATATTTGAATATATTCCTACACTTACTTAAAATTGTGTTTATCAATACTGAAAAGAAAATTTAAAATTCAGTGCCCATTGCCTAGATTTCTTTAATAAAATTAAAATCATCCTAGACTCTCCAAGTCACCATACTTATCAGGAGTTATGGTTAGATCTGGGAATAAGAACAGATATCGTTCTGCCACTAGTTCGTTCAATCTCAGAATACCAGTCAGGGGCTTACTTATGTACCTAATGAAGTATAGGAATCTGACTCCCTGCTTAGCAGTTTCTACTGGGAATATGAAACTTCCCAATGTATAGATCAGATTTTGCTCCTATATGATTAGGTAGGCTAAAAGTGGGCCTTTTCTCTAAAGGGCCAGAATGTAAATATTTTTGGCTTTGCAGGTCATGTGATCTCTGTTATAACTAGTCAACTCTACAGCGTGAAAGCAGCCATAGACAGTATATTAATTAATAAGCGTGGTTGTGTTCCAATATAACTTTTATTAAGAAGAATAGGCTGTGGACCAGATTTAGACCATGGGTAGTAGTTTGTCAACCTCTTACCTAGGATATCCAAACATTTATTTTACACTGTGATTAGTGATCAGCCAATAATTTTAAGGTTTTACTCTAACCATATAAAAATGGTATTTTAATACAAATATTTTATACCTACAATGACCACATGTCCTAAATTTGGGGGGACAGTCCTGACTTTGTGTAATTTTATCTTTATTAATAATTGCCATATATTTCAATTTCAGGTTTAAAAAATAGGTTACCTATATGTAGTCAACTAGCAAAATAACCCCTTAACATATAACTGCTACCTTTGAAAAACCCAGTATCTGCAAATACTTGCAAGTAGTGTAACCCAAAGGACTATAAAACTAAACTTACCCTTTGGGTAGGATAAGATGGCTTTTTCTTCTTTTCGACTGTATAAAGACTGATTTCTATGTCACCTTTTGCAGTTCGACATTCTTCCTGAACCCTGATAATAAAGGTCAAAGTGACAGGAAATCATCAAAAATCAAACCAACAGTCTAAGGAGGGCATGTGTTGTGATGAGCACTGGATATTATATGAAACTAATGAATCATTGAACACTACATCAAAAACTAATAATGTACTTATACAGTGGCTAACTGAACATAATAAAAAAATAACTATTAAAAAAATCAAACCAACAGTCTAAAAGCCAGACAACAAAAATTAACTATTTTTAGGTGTACGATAATGACATTTACAATGTTGTATAACAACCATCAACACTATTTGCAAAACTTTTTTATCACTCCAAACAAACTTTGTAACCATTAAGTAGTAACTCTCTATTTCTCCTTCTACCAGTCCTTGTTAACCTCTAATCAACTTTATGTCTCTTTGAATTTGCTTTCTCTATATATTTCATATAAGTGGAATCATATGCTATTTGTCCTTTTGTGTTGGTATTTCACTTAGCATGTTTTTAATGTTTATCCATGTGGTAGCAGGTATCAGAACTTCATTCTTTTTTTTTTATGACTGAGCAATATTCCATTGTATGTATATATCACATTTTGTTTATCCATTCATTTGTGGACAGACACTGGCATTATTTCTACTGTTCTGGTATTGTGAATAATATAGCAATGAACATTGGCATACAAGTATCTCTTTGACTTCCTTCTTTCAATTGTACTTTAACGTTTTGAGCAAAGAATTACTTCAAATTCCTCTACTGCCAAGAGTTCATAAATTAGCTATATCTCCCTTTTTCTTATTACTGTCATAGAAAGAAAAAAAACTAAATTATGTTTGCTACTTGTTGGATGAGCTGGTAAAAAGGCTTGGTAGAGGAGTTAGCATGATTAAGAGATTTTGTATGTTCTCTGTCAAATGTCTTTTTTCTTTCCTAAATCTACTTACAGCCTATGTGGATTATCTGGAGTTGATATTAAAGCAAATGTTAGGATTTCTAAATAAGAATAGGTATTCTAAATTTGAAATTCATCCTAATAAAATCCTTTCATACAAGGAAGTATACTTAGAGGGCATTTCAAAATACACCCTAAGTACTGGGGTCTACAACACATCTATATTGCATTCCCAAACCATTCCAATATCAAATTGAGGGCCTTTTCCTCAGAACCACTGTTGAATTTGGGTCTATATACCACTGACATATTTAATAACAAATGGTCTCAAATTCTTACTTAATAGTATTTGTATTCTTTATCTTCTAACCTAGACTATAAACTCATGGAAAACAAACTATGTTCTTCATTTTTCAGTATTTCCCAAGCCATTTAGCACAAAGCCAAGCAAATTAAAGATAATCATTAAATAGTTGTTATGGAATGAACTAACTGGAATAATGTAGAAAAACTAATACAAAACTCAGCTTGATTAAAAAATACCTTAGTTATTAAAATTTACTAACTAAACAATAAAATTCTCAATTTTCTTATCAATGTTACCTTATTGACTCACCTACTAACTCCATTATTTAGTTCATTGACCACCACTCTTCTGCTCCATGCCATGAGATCTCGTTCAGTGGCCATCTGGCTCCGGGGAGCATTGTTATGCATTTGTCGGACACCTTCAATTTGACCACTACGTCGAAGCCCAATATTTGGGGATGAAGATATGTCCATATTTGGACTTCTCAGAGCTAAAATAAAAAGAAAGGTACCACTTTCTCCCAGTAAAGGCACCAAAATTTTAGATATCAGTACTCTAAAATAGGAGAGTCTAAGATGGTACTTCTAGACAATATTGCCATCCTTTTGTTCTACATTTTCTGTACCACCTTTATGGTTTTTAAAGTGTGTTGAATAAAGCAAAGCACTCAATAAATGTTTAAAGTTTCTATCACTCTTTTAAATTTTTTCAAAGTACGTTCACATCTGTCATCTACTAAATTCTTAGGAAATACAAAAAGTATATTTAACAGATTTGGTAGATTCACAAATGCTTAATAGTACTACTTCAGAAAGCAGCTTTTAATCTAAATCTTATATTTAGCCCACTAAAAGGACTATGAATAAAGTTTCAATAGGCTTTCAAAAGTAGTAATGAGAGAAAAAGTATAAGCAAAAAATATTAACTATCAAAATTTCATTTTCAAAGCTGATAAGCAATGAAAGAAAGGGGAAATAAAGTAATGAAACATTTTTTAAGCCCCTAGACATTCCCTGTTAATTTATTTTTGTTGTATTTGCAAATAAAATAAAAATGGAAATTGAATGATTCATTCAACTGTTAAAATAAGCACCCAGGAAAGACAAAAACGAAACAAACAAACAAAAATCATTGGAAACAGAAGTCAGTGGGGTCACTCTGACTAATGGCATTTCAAATATATCCACAGAAATCTAGTATGGAGGGTAGAGTTGAACGCTGATTTCATTAATGAATCTCTAAATCAGGGTTCTAAGAATGTTTAACAAAAAGGGCCTGGTTATGTAGGATTATCAGCCCACTTCTTATCCTGTTCCAGATTAAGGAAAGCTTAGTTAGGTGCTCCTTAGGTGAACAAAAAATATTTTTATTTTAATTTTAGAGGATACTTAAGAATCAGGAAATGAGTATAATACTCTGTGAATCACCTCAAATTTAAATCACTTTATTCAATTCCTGGACTCCCAAAGCTATAATACCCAAATAAACCCCAATTACATAAATGTAAAAAGAAACACATTTGCCAAAATCCCATAAGAAGACTGCATTTTGAAGTACTACTAATAGTTCTTGAAAAAGGCAAAACTGATGATGCACACTTTGGCAGCACTTATATTGAAATGATACAGAGAAGATTATCATGGCCCCCGAGTGAGGATGACACACAAATTCATGAAGTATTACATCATTAAAAAAATATAAAACTGACAGAAGCTAAGATTTATATAAAATTCAGATATATATGGCACCTGGGTGCCTCAGTCAGTTGGGCATCTGCCTTCGGCTTGGGTCATGATCCAAGTCCCAGGATCAAGTCCCTCATGGGCTCCCTGCTTGGCAAGGGAGTATGCTTCTCCCTCTGGCTCTCCCTCCTCGTGTGTTTCTCTCTCTCACTCTCTCTCTCTCTCAAATAAATAAAATCTTTTAAAAAATTCAGATGTATAGCCACATTTCATGTAAAGTGAAGAAAAGATATAATAAATTAGAATACTGCCAGTATTCAAACTGTTATGAAAATCAATTCATAAGTTGCATCTGTATTTCCTAAGAATAGGGCTTATCTTCCAGTGTATTTTTTTTTTAAAGATTTTATTTATTTGAGAGAGAGAGACACAGCGAGAGAGGGAACACAAGCAGGGGGAGCGGGAGAGGGAGAAGCAGGCTTCCCGCTGAGCAGGGAGCCCAATGCGGGGCTCAATCCCAAGAACCCTGGGATCATGACCTGAGCCGAAGGCAGACGCTTAACGACTGAGACACCCAGGCGCCCCCTTTTGTTTTTTTTAAAGATTTTATTTCCAGTGTATTTTTGTAAATTCAAGAGACGAAGGGGATAACGTTGCTTTTTTTTTTTTTCAACAAAGGAGGGTAAATTTTTTGTTAGTAATTTTTACATTCACATGGTTTAATTTCGAAAACATTATAGGTTGGTTCTCCTTTTACAAAAAGGCTGTACTTACTGCAGCACCTCATATATTATAACAAAAGGAAAGACTGCAAATACATTCTTGAGTTAGGAGAAAACAGTATATTAAATATACCACCCGTATTTCTTAAGAAACGCTAAGAACTCTTAGCCACAAACGAAAATGAGATTATGGCACTTTGGTGTATTTGATATCACAATTGTAAATTAATAAAAATGTTCTTATTTAAAAACCTAAAATGTTCCTTACATGTAATTACTTAGTGCAATTAAAATAAAGTAACTCCATCATATAAATATATACATACTTACCACCATTAGCAGAATATGATCTATTAATTGGAAAATGTGGAATATCTCCTTCGTTAATTAGTCTAAGATCTTGTTCTCTCTGTAGCTCCCTGATTATTCCATCAAGAATGCTTTCATCTTGGTCATTGGTTTGTTGCCCAATTACTTGTTCTACCACCTCACCATCACCTTAATGACACCAAGATATAAAACCACAAAATTACATACATTTTAATATACCTTAAATACAGTAAAAATAACCTTCATCTATAAATCTCTAGATAAATAATAAAAAACAAGATTAAAATGAAAATAAAACATATATCAAAAAGTATTTATAAAGAACTTTTAAATTGTTTGATATGTCAGCTTGTGTGTTCACATGACTTAACAAATGTCCCCAAATTAGCTATTATTAGGAGGGTCTTCTCATTTTAAAGAATAATCATTAAATTATGAATTTCCAAATGTACTTTCTTGATGAAATATTCCAAGCAAAAAGTCCAGAGTAGAGATCTGAGTAAAGTTTAAAGTGCAACCACAGATACAGAAAATGTTTTGCATCTTTCTTTCATGAGAATTTCCTTTCTGAAATAAATCAAAATAATGGTCTTTCAAATACTGTCTCTTTCAAAAACATCTCAGTATATTGATAAGTACAGAAATTATTTCTACTGACACACTGAAATACAATGGTTATACCTGAATACTTTATTTACTTCTATATTCTTTTTCTTTCCTTCTTTTTAAAGATTTATTTATTTATTCCAGAGATGGGAGGGAGGGGCACAGAGATAGGGAGAGAATCCTCAAGCAGACTCTATGCTGAGTACAGAGCCACACGGGGCTGGATCCCAGGTCCCTGAGATCATGACTTGAGCCAAAATCAAGAGTCAGACACTCAACCAACTGAGCCACCCAGGTGCCTCTATATTCTTTTTCTTAAATACATCTTAGACATGTTTTTCATCTTGTCCTCTAGTCGGACTAAAAGGTATCCAAAAGAGCAGCCAAGTAGCCAGACATCAGGTCTTATAGGAAATGAAGTATGATGAATTAGAGACTTTTTTTACTCAAATGTGTTGAGTTTTATCTATTTAATATTCATGCTTTTCCCCTTGTTTACATATATGACATTATAAAAGTCAATATTAGCAAACATATAACACCATTTCATTGCTCTACAGATCTTTATGAGAGAATACATAAAAGGATATGCAACATTTCACTCTATAAAAAACAAATCAAATATTAAATCTCTAGTAAGGAAATAAAATTCCATTTACAATTCAATATCTACACCATACCTGGAAGAAAACCTACAAAAAACAAACTAAGATATGAAGGCATTCTGGTGTGGTGGATGGGGTATGAGAGGCAGAAAATGCAAGAGAAATACATAAACAAGATTTGCTATGGAGGGGAAGATAGCTGTGGAGTAGTAGGAGACTAGGCTTGCCTCCTCCCATGAATACAAGTAGATAAATACCAATTCACCCTAAATACTCCAGAAATTGATCTGAAGACTAGGAGAACAAACTCTACAACTAAAGGTAGAGAAGAGGCCACATCAGAGAAGGTAGGAAGTGCAGAGACATGGCTTGGGATAGAAACAGATCATGGCTTCCATAGTGGGGAGGGAGCCAAGGTCGTAGAGAAGGGCAAGAGACAGACTAGCACAAAGGGGAGCTCACATGGGAAAGATGAATCCTCACAGCAACTGGCTTGGTAAGCCAGAGGGGCTGAATTTCACGAGCTCTTGAAAACAGTGGGGCTTAAAGCTTGGAGTTTTATAGGTCAATGGGTTTGGCTCTGGGAGAGCATGCAAAGCATTGGGGCTGCTCTTGGAAAGAATTCAGGGCAAACAGCCCATAAACTTGTGGCGTGGAAACTGATCTCAAGAGCGCCTGAGGCACACAGTGGGGAGCTTATTTGCCCATCTCAGAGTGTGTCCCAGAGAGGCAGGATTCATGAAAAGACCCGTCTGTGAACAAAGTAACTAGCAGCCGCCATTTTCCTCCCATCTGCATAAGTACAGGGTCACCTATGGGAAACAGCACAGCACCAGAACTTACTACCTAAATTGCTTATGCCAAGTCCCGCCCCATTGTGCTCAGATGGAACTGACCTTCCAAGTCACACTTAACCTCAGTCCTAACACAGCAGTTCTCTTCCCTCAGACTGGCCCAAACTCCTGCCAACACTGCATCTCCTGATCCAGGAGTTTTGCAGGACCTGGGTTCCAGTGGCAGTGGCAACATGTCTCATTTCACAAGCAGACCAGAGCACACCAGTTAAAGCTCACCACAAAAGGCCAAGGACCAAACAATGCTGACAACAGGCAAAGACAGCATCTACAGAAGATGGGCCTAAAGAATAAAGTGGCCAGCACAGAAGAGCAGAGAGCATGCACCACACATTAGAAAAATTCACTGAAGTGTCGGGTCCTGGGGAAAAGGGGACACTGCACTCCAGGGTATTACAAGGACTTCTTCTTCAGAAGGTCATTACCCCCAAGAAGAGGAGACATAGCTGACTTATCTAACACACAGAAACAGATACACGAGAAGCAAACAAAATGAGAAGACAGAGGAATTTCCCCCAAATGAAAAAAGAGGACAAAGCCACAGCCAGAGATCTAAAAGCAAAATAGATATAAGTAACATGCTTGATAGAGAATTTAAAGTAATGATCATAAAGCTATGCACTGGACCTGACAAAAGAGTGGAAGACATTAGTGAGACACTTAAAAAAGAGATAAGGAATAATATAGCAGAGATAAAGGATTTACTAAACAAAATGAATAACATGGTTGACAGAATAAACAGCAGTCTGGAAGAAGCAGAGGAACAAATTAATGACCTAGATGACAGAGTAATGGAAAGTAGTCAAGCTAAACAAAAGAGAGAAAGAAGAATTATGTGAAAGAATTAGAGAACTCAGTGACTCCATCAAACATAATAACATTCATATTATGGGAGTTCCAGAAGAAAGAAAAAGAGAAAAGAGGGCAGAGAATATATTTTAAGAAATAATAGCTTAAAAATTCCCTAATCTGGGGAAGGAAACAGATACCCAGATCCAGGAGGCACAGAGAACCCCCAACAAAATCAACAAAAGCAGATCCACACAAAGACATATTATAATTAAAATGGCAAAATATACTTATAAATAAAAAAAAATTTAAGTCAGCAAGACAAAAGAACACAGTTACACATAACGGAAATCCCATAAGGCTATCAGCAGCTTTTTCAGCAGAAATGTTATAACAAAAAGGGAGTGGCATGATATGCTCATAGTGCTGAATGGGAAAAATCTGCAGGCAAGAATACTCTATCCAGCAAGGTTATCTTTCAGAATAGGAAAGCTAAAGAGTTTCCCAGACAAACAAAAACTAATGGAGTTAATGACCAATAAACCAGCTCTATAAAAAATATTAAAAATAATTCTTTGAGTGGAAAGGAAAGACCAAAAGTGACAGTATCAAGTAGGAAACATAAAGCAGTGAAAATGAGTATTTCTGTAAGAAATCAGTCAAGACACACACACACACACACACACACACACAAAGAATGTAAAATATGACACCATATACCTAAAATGTGGGGAGGAGAGGAGTAAAGAATGGGTTGAATCTTTTTTTTAAATTTTTTATTGTGATGTTAATCACCATACATTACATCATTAGTTTTTGATGTAGTGTTCCATGGTTCATTGTTTGTGGATAACACCCAGTGCTCCATGCAAAACGTGCCCTCTTTAATACCCATCACCAGGCTAACCCATCCTTCCACCCCCCTCCCCTCTAGAACCCTCAGTTTGTTTTTCAGAGTCCATCATCTCTCATGGTTTGTCTCCTGCTCTGATTTCCCCCCCTTCATTCTTCCCCTCCTGCTATCTTCTTTTTTTTTTCATAACATATATTGCATTATTTGTTTCAGAGATCTGTGATTCAACAGTCTTGCACAATTCACAGCG